TTTTATCATTTTTAAGTCCAAACCGGTCACTGTAAGCGACTTTTTTTAACATTCGTGTTATTTCTTTATTCTCGCTTTCGGCGTTTTAATGCAGTCATAAGTATGCTCTTCTTTCAACGAAACATGAGCCGTACGACAAGGTGTTATGGACGAAGCCCCTCCATTTTCTGTATTGTAAAAGTAAAGAAAAACTCCTGACGCTTTAAAATGCTACATTACAAATACGTCTGTTTTTTTTTACTCGCACACAGATTCACACAAACAACAAAATGAGAAAAAAATAAACGATAAAATGCAATACAGTCGATAAAACGTAAAACGGATATTCATCAGTTGTACCTAAAAAGAAAAATAAAATTCTTGTGATTTGGTCGAAAATGCGTGCAATAAGATAATAAAACAAAATAATAATGTAACTAAACTAATAAGTAGCAGTAAGAATAGAAAGAGTCTTGGAGGGTTAATACCACAAAATTTTTATAAGAAAAAAAACGCTGAATCTAATTTTACAGATGTAATGTTAGTAATTTTATAAATGTACTCGTACGTACCGGCCATTAGTATGTCTGAATAATGCTAATATTTCTTCGAAGGTCTTGTTCTTGGTTTCAGGGACCTTCTTATACGTGAAGATCCAGAAAAACGCAAGGAATACACTGAACGGTAGGAACGTGTAGTTGTCGAGGTAAGTCTGTAAAACGTTTTTTTTTTTTTTTTTTTTTTTTTTATAGCATTTCATGCTGTTTTTACATGTAATTAATTTTGAGGGTAAAAAAAATGAAAAGGTCGTCTCAAGACACGACTGATTCACAAAAGCAGATTTTATATTTTGCAGAAAAACAAATAAAATGTAAGCTGTACAATTAATTATATTACATTGTAGAAGGTTCTCGAACTGATAATTGACTTACAACAGTACAAAAAATAACTACAATAAACACTAACTTAAAAAAAATGAGGTACTACTAAATGATAAAAGCTAAATTTACTACGACCAAATGTAATAAACTAAAATTCACTTGCTTAGTTAGTCATTACAACAAGTTTTAAAATGGATATTGAAACTCGCATAAATTCAATACAATAATTTTATATTAAAAAAAAAAACAATTCTCATGAAAATATCTAGATAAGTAAAACGATTTCTACATTCGAGCATTTCTATTATATGTGATACCAACAAAATAACTGAAAGATTTTTTCATTCCAATGTTGTGGAATTATACAGCTGATCAACGATTAAAAAAATACTTTTGTGCTCTAGTGACGCCATGTACTATATATCAGCATGGGCGTAAAGTGTGACAAGGCCTTTCCACCTCTGGCAAGAAAATTATCGTTCGCGAAGTGCATGATTACCTATACGAGGATAATCTGTCTAAATAAAATAAACCTAAAAGAGTATTTTTATCGCTGTATGCATATACTTTACCGTATAATTGTAACAATATTGATAACTGCAATAATTATTTTATAAAAAAATATTAACAATGTCCTTGGCTCTATTTTTTGCATCATGCTTTTTTGTGTAATTGATATTCGCTTCGTGCAAATCAATGGAGATAAGGACAGACACTAGGTATCATTTTAACATATAATCTTATGAATTAGCACAATTCATTGGATAACGGTAGCCACTCTGGCTGATTTTAATTTCTATGATTTAATGTAAAAAAATGCAATAAAATGGGGGTAGCATCTGACTTGTACGAAGCGATGAAACAGGTTAGAGACTCAAAATAACTTGAGCAATTTTAAGGTTTATCATAAAAAAATTAAGAGATTTCACAAAAAGTTGCTCTCAAGCTCAAATTTGAGTCCTTGTAGTCCTTAGCATTGGGAGCTCAATATGTTGATAGCTTGTGTAAAAGTGTATAGTATTTTAAAGACAAAAAAAACATGGAAATCATTATTTTATAAATTAAAGAAGTATTAGAAAGTAAAATAAGAAATTTTTTTTAAACATTTTCTACTTTTTGAAATTTATGTTTCATATTATAAGAAAAAATATTTTTCAGGATTTACCGATAAAGTTGTATCGAAATTGTTATAATAATGTAATGTAATTTATTATGTAATAGAAAGCAAGTGTAGAAATTATTAATCAGTTTTGCGAGAATTTATCACTATTCTGCAACTGCAAATAAGTGGAATGTACCACCGGACTTGGGTATAAGAGCATCATTTTATAAAAATGTAATTTTAATTGACGAAATCCCAAAATCACTGACTTGGCCCTTGTCCTAATATAAAATATATAGAAAAAATAAAGAATGTGAAGCACAATATACCGGCAATCGAGAGTACTCCAACTTATTTGCAGAAGAGTAGATTGTATGAGAAATTTGCCAAAGTAACCATTGTTGAACTTTTGTACAGTTAATACAAACGACGCAACAAATTATCCAATTACTGCAGATGGCAGTACACTTGTGGGGACGTGAAGTATCCAATTTTTCGCAGTATTTCAACAATAAATTAACTATATACATACATCCATGCGTACATTCACATATAAATACATCCATACATATATACATACATGTATAAATATATATGAATGCATACACAGAGGCACTGCCCACTTCACAAGCAAGTATTTTTTAATTTACGGCTATGTTAATAAATATATTTTTTCATTTTAAGAAGTAAGCCCGCTTCCCAAAATGAGAATTGCTATTCGATTTTTTTTTCTTGAAGCTTTTTCTATACTATTGTTCGTTTATTAATTCTTTATGTATTTTTTTTTTTTATCAAAAT